AATAAATGATTACATGATTAATAAAAAACTTATTTCTGGAGGATGGGGTTTTCTTGTATTTAAATAATTCTCTGAATATGTTTTTAAATTATGAGACATTATACTGGTAGATAAAAAAAAGGAACAAATGCAGGGTAAAGAAAAAGTGACTCATTAAATAATACTTGTAAAATAAAAGTACATGTATGATGACAATATCGTATCCATTATTGCTAAATGTAAAGAAAGAAACTAGCAAATAACAATACTGTTAAATAGAAATGACGAATTAAAAGCAACGAATCTATAAAATATTTTTTTTTAAATGCCTTCGGCAAAAATTTTGAATACAGAATATTACATACTTTCAAAAATGTTTCAATAATAGTTTAGATTCTGCTTATTTTTAATTTGTCTCACGTGTTAATAAATGTTTTCTCGTTCCTTTCTTTTAGTTGTGTGAATTAAGCTTAAAATAATCTATGTGCGAAAATCAATTTTATTATGATTAATTACTATTTAAAACAAAAGAAATAATTTTTAAAAGAGAAAGTAACTGGAGGTAAATATCGCTATTTTATGCCATTTATAATATAAATATCGCTATTTTATGCCATTTATAATCTATTCTATCGAACTTTCATATAAAGAGACTGAAACGAATTTTAATTCATTCATGCTGAATAAAATATGATTTTTCTGTCAAATTATATATAAGTAAGTATGAACTCTGGTGCGGCCAATTTGGAGTTGATTTTCAAAATATATCCAATTATATTAATTTATTAGGGTTTAGGGTTAGATATAGGCGTATAAGATTGCTACACACAAGAACTATGTAAATCCATGACACTGTCGAAGTTACATATTGACTAACTTCGGAAAGAATGACAACTCTCGTTTACATTTTGTTACTCGCGATGAATAATTTTTAGCAAAATTTTTCTTAGGGCAACCCCCCCGGTACCACTGACCCACGGGCCATGACATTCGCCATTTCGGAAGAGGCAACTTTCCTCATCATGACCATATACATGTACTTGGATCATCGGCATGATACCCAGGAGCAGAGGAGATGATTTTCAAAGAATTAATGCATTTTCATGATATAATCATTAGAGCCCCTCTCCAACACCAGATCCCCTAATATTCACAAATTTGGAAGAGACATCTTTCCTAGCCAAAATTAATATGTATATGGTTCATTGGTATAATACCAAGGAGAAGATATTCAAATAATTAATGCATTTTCAATATATAATCATTAGAGCCCTTGACTCAGGGGCCTTGACTTTCAAAAATTCTTGAAGAAGCACCCTTGCTCATCATAATTATATAATAAGATCATAGGCATAACATTCAAGACTAGAGGACAAGATTTTCAAAGAATTTATGCATTTTCACTATATAATCAATGGAACCCTCCTAACACCAGAACCCCTGGCGAGGGGCAATGAAATTCACAATCTTGGAAGAGACACACTTCCTCATCATAATTTTATACATTGTTCAGCGGCTTAATTCTAAAAAGCAGGGGTTAAAATTTTCAAAGAATTAATGTATTTTCACTATAATCAATAGAGCCCCGATCTTACACCAGAATCCCCTGATCCAGGGGCCATGCAATTCACGAAAGAGACACCCTTTCTCATCATAACTACGTACATAGTGTATCTGCTTAATACCCAGGAGCAGAGGAGAAAGTTTTAAAAGAAATATTTGCATTTTTACTATATAATCATTAGATCCCTCCCTAACAACAGAACCCCCGACCCAGGGGCCATGAAATTCACATTTTTGAAAGTGGCACCTTTCGTATCATAACTATGAAAAAAATTCATTGGTTTAATACTCAGGAAAAGAGAAGACGATTTTTAAAGGATTAAGGCATTTTCACTACATAATTATTAGAGTCCCGCCCTAACTCAAGAACCTTTTACCCAGGGGCCGTGAAATTCACAATTTTGGAAAAGGCACCTTTCCTCATCATAACTTTGTATACTTAATTCATTGGCTTTACACCCAGGAGCAGAATACAAGATTTCTAAAGAAATAATACATTTTCACTATACATGTATATTCAGCAGAGCGTCGCCCTAGCACCAGAGCCCCTGACCCTGGATGAGACCATGAAGTTCAAAATTTCTGTATAGGGCTCAATGCTTATAACAATCATTCAAACAGTCTGGTTGCTTTATGTCCAGGAGAAAATATTTTTTAGAATGCATTTATTTGAGTGGTTTTGGCTCCACCCCTCAGTCCTGGAATGCGTTCATATAAATATGAGTAATCATGAATTTGAAAGGGAAATTTTAATTTAAATAGATTTTTCATCAATATCTATGTAAGTATATTTGAATTCACCACTGTAATGTGACTACTAGTATTAATGCTTATTTCTTACAATTTAATCATGGGTATATAAGATTTCAAAAATACCGTGGAATCATAAGATTTCTATGGTGGCTCAATTTTGGTAGAGGATACTTCTCATCCTCAAATTTTTCCTACTTCACTCATTTAATATAGCATAATATAAATGATACACCCTTATCATGCTAAAGTATGAACACCAGTAGTAATTAACTTTTTCTTGCATAAGGTATACTTTTGAAATACACTGTACTTAGAATAATGATATCACTTAGAATTAAATAAAAAAGGTATAAATAGTTTTAAGGGGAGACAGGGCACATGTCACATGACTAAAAAGATATATTACGTCATAATCGGTGATGATATACATGTTAAACGTTGTTAAAATCAACAGTTCTTGTGGAATTTTATTCTAAATTCTAAAATTGTTGTTTAATCATTTAACACGTTTCATTTTAGAAATTATTATTCATAAAATTTTTAAAGATCTTGCCATCATTTAGATATTGTGAAGTTGCCCAATCCACACATTTGTTTCTCTTTACCCTGCGTTTGACGTCAGTGACGTCATAGACGTAGTGTTTGAATTTTCAGTGCAGCGAGATCAAGTACACACACCCGTCATGATCAGTTTAATTTCATAATAAACAGGTCACAGTCAATGTATCGTGATAAATTTCTGAAGCAGATTTTTTTTAAATTAATATTTTTCGTGTTTAGTAGCAGAGATTCTCTCTATTTAGATAATTTTGAATGTTTATGTTTTCGTGTGACGTCACAATTGATTTCCCGCACTCGGAAAATACAAACGTGAAGCGTTTTTATCATGCTTACGTCTAATTCAACGATGTCCTGTGCGAAATTTAGGTAAGCTTCACCCTGTGATATTTATGCAGTAAATAATTACGATGAAGGACTGACATTCAATCGTAAATTTAGAAATATTTATTGACAGAATTTTTTCCCAATGAGGTTTTTGTCGTTGAAGCTGCCTTGAAAATGCAGAAATTATCCCACCCAATTACTACATAAAATTAAAACAATTGCTTTTAGATAATTTAAATACTATGAATGTTCTGAAATATTTGAGTATATAGTGTTATCTATAATATTTATAGTTTGTGCGTAAAAATTCGCATGATGGACTCCGTTATGGGCCCGTAAACTTGAAGTATCTAAACTCCATACAAACTCTACACAGGGCGGTATTTGTGGGGCGATATCTTTTAAATAAGTCAAGAAATCCCATGACAGGACCGTTTTAAAATGTTAAGTATATATTAAATTAGTAATATAAAAAATACGAAAAAAATTCATTGACAGGAATTTTTTAAGCTAAAGGTCCTGTTCCTCCTTAAGAAATTGTGTTTGTATGATAACATATGTTACTATAGAAAATCCTGAAGAAAACTTGTATTTGTTGGAAGATCATTTTTCGTCAAGTCTCACAGTGAGAAACCTAGTCGGGTCAAATGGACAGTGTACATACAATTATGCCATTTTGGTTTTAATGAGAAATTCAAGAGGGTCAACACCTATGACTTTTCAGTATGGCACGCACATATTTCGTGTCAAGTTAACCATCACGTGGGTTCTTGACCCGAGAATGACTTTTTCAAAGCAATCTTTTTAAGTAACGCTTCAAAAATATCGGTTTTGAACAGGTTCAGCTTATGCTCCATTGAACTTCGAAAATCAAATATCTTTTTTAAAGAAAGTCATATTCGTTTACTTTTCACTCAGCATCGAGTAAAAAAAGATACCCTTAGACCACAAAGCTCATCTGAGTCACTAATACCCTGCTTTTCTTCATCATCAGATTTTTCTCACACATTCCTACTTAAAACTTTGATAAAACACTTTTGCCTACTTCAATCCCCGATGTCTTGATTCGAACAAACTCCATTACTACCCGAGGATTTTCCTTACAAATCAAATTTTGTTCTTGAGAAGAAAAGATGTTTTAATACCTATTTTTCCTATTATGTAACTATTTCCTACTATTGATCAACTTTTGTAGTCCCAACCTATCCCCGAGTGCCAAGTCTTTAAATCTTAAATCCACACTACATGTTCCTTAGGTTGCTTCATGGCTTTCTTGTGATAAAAAGACACTTAAGTCACTCAGGTGAGCTGAAAATGACAGATTTTAATCATTAATAGTAGACTCTGTATCACCTTGACCCACTGTTCACTGGAAATTATTTTCTTTATCCTGATGAGAACCACAGAGACATAAATCATGCATGTGTACCAATTCCTGCTTTCACGTCCAAAATGTTTATTTCAAGAATTGCTTCCTGCCAACAGAGTGTAATGAGTAACAGTCGACTGAAACAGACGGTGACTAAGTAACCGTCCGTTCATATCAGCCGGGAGGGAAAACAAGTAGAGATAGCTTCCGGATGGGGAAACTGGAAACAGACCTAACTTAGTTCTTTCTAAGTGTGTTTCGTCTATACAAAATAAAGTTTGCATATATTAAGGACAATGTTATTCAAAAGAAAAGCTATGGCTTGTCTTTAATACATAAGCAGTTATGAGCACTCAAAACTGCATTCTTTTAAAACATTATTATCAAGTAGATATTGTTTTACAATAATAACATCCATTGTTAAAACCACCGAGTTGCTCTTAAATTAGGCGTTTGACGCCTGCTTTATTGGAGTGAATACGGTAACTCCGGCGATTCGTCATGCTTATGAGACCCACATGCGAAATACATTCAGTTGTTTGCCAGCATCTTCTGGAGATACATCAAAACTTCCTCCTCCGCTCAGAGGTAAGTCTTCAAACTTTAATTTCATTCACGTTTTTGTGGATGCGTTTGTACATTAAATAATGATTCGTTATCCAACAGGGTTTTCTTTATATTTTGCATATTTTATACCAAATTCCCTTCGTCCGAGAGGGGGAGGCGGGGGTCAACCTTACATTATTCGTAATCTCGTTTGAATATAAAATTGAAATATAAAATAAATTTTATTTATTGTTGCGGGGGCTCAAAAAAAAATCTCAATCATTTATGCTCTGAATGATTAAGAGACATTTTTCCAGAGATATTTGTTTTTTAAAAGGTTTATAAAACTGGCAACTCTTGATTTTAAAAAATGTATTTCAAAACAGCAACCAGCTGGTTGTTATTCTGCTACTGTATTTATTCATTACTTTTTGTTTTTATCGTGAGTTTTTCAAGGATGAAAATAATATCTTTGTTGTGCTTGATAGACTGCTAATGAATCATTTCATCCCACAACTTCACTCGAGTTACGCCATTCTTGGCAAAGTGTTTCCAAATGATTTCTGGTGCAATGTGCATCGTATTGCAGTGAAGTAAATGTTTGAAAAAAAGTATTCAAAGTGTTATTTCCAAATTTCCAATTTTATTTATTAGTACAATGTATTTATATTAAAATTAAAAATATCACATCAACATGAACATTGTAAATACCATATTAACATCAGCCTGGCAAAAGCTAAAAAAAAAAACAAAAAAAAAACAAAGTTCTAGTTGTGTTTTAATTTTTCCCTTCCGTTTTTTTCTTCAAAATATTACATGATCCATGGAACTGCTATTAAGTTTGTCTTGGAAGTCCCTTTTCTAAGTTAAACTTTTCCACGGTTTCATTTTGACCAGTATTCTGTCATTTTGGCTCGCCCTCTATTCACGACATATGGAATCTTATAGTACCAATTATCATTTAGTTATTCTGGAGAAGTGATTAAAATACTGGTGTAAAGTCGAATAATGACCGCCGTGGAATTAAGAACGAGGGTCGATTCTTTCATTTTAAAAAGTAGCCATAAAATATATATTTATTTTGTATCTTTAGTTTTCCACATGTTTTTAACATTAATTTTACATAGTAAGAAAATAGAAGAATAATTTTTTCCTCATGAAGTTTCTAGTTGGGCAAAATCTTTTCATTTTATTTGAAAAATAAAATGCTGCTTTTTCTGACCATCTGATTTGAAAACTTAAAACCCCTCTTCTCTCTCTCCCGATTTTTTTTTTTTTTGTTGTTGAAAAAATGATGTTATATTTAATATTTATTATTCATAATTGATGCGCATTTAGAATTCAGACCATCTTCTACTTTGAAAACAAAGAAAACACAGGAATGTAACCTTTTATCTTTCAAGTATTTAATTTAAATAATTAAGTAATTCTTTCCGATTGCCTGAAAAGTTAAGCAATAAATCATTTTTCTGTTTTGGAAGAATGTAAACAAAATTTTGTAGCAATGTCTTCTTGATTGGAAACATCTACGGCATCTGGGCGACAAAAGATGTTCCAGCGGCAAGATTTCGCGGAAAATGTCTGACTAATTCTGTTAAGACTTTCGAAACAATTACTAAATGTGTAATTGTGTTATCTTTTCATTTGCCGAGAACATACCTACTCGACGCATTAGCTTCATTGCATGTTCCCAGATACAATCATTTTCATTTCCTTAAATTACTACACATTATTTGTATAAGCTGTCTTTTTGATAAATATAATGGGAAAGAACGACACAAAATTCATTAAATCTATTTATTTGCGTTCTTGGAATAAAAATGCAAAAATTTGTAAATGGTAATTTGTCACACTAGTATATTTTGTATCGAAGATCAGTATCGAAATATCATGTTAAGTGTCCTCTACAAAATTAGAATTTTTCAATTAAAATTTGTAAATGACAATTTATTGTCATAAAGAAATTTTAATTGAAAAATAAAATTTTTTTGTAGAGGATTAAAGTTTGGAAACATTATCATTTTTACATTTCTTTCTATTATTAAAATAGTAGTTTCATTCATTTGTGTATGTAGACTCGATATATCAAAGTTAACTTGATATAAAAAAGTCTACAGAGTCAGTTACATCTGTTTCATATTAAAATGTTTTACTGACTATAGACGACATAGGCAAACCAATAACTAAATTCTTTAACAAATGAGAAGATTTCAATTTCTCCACCGTCAACTTTCCTTTTTCCAAAGTCAACTTTCCTTACATATATGTTTTGATATTCTGTTGTCACCTTCATATGTTTCCGAACTTATTAGCTACTCAAAAGCATACTATGAATATGATCAAACCAAAGAAAGCTACTCACACATTAGTTATAATTTACAGAGATTTCAACAATCGATCTCGTTTAAAGTCGACATTTCTTAAATTCTATAAATATTACGTCTGTTTAATTAACACTTAGGGCTCACAGCAGGTGTGACTGGACAGCAAGGGATACTTACTCCTCCAAGGCACCTGATCCCACCTCTGATATTTCCTTGGGTCCGTGTTTATGCTCTGTTCAAAGATGTGCATTGTTTGTAGTTTTTATGAGATAGATCACTCTTCGTTATCGTCACCTTTTTAAAAAATTATATTTCATTTGTCGTAATCACATTTTGCACCATCTTACGTCAACTTACACCGGCTCTTAAAATCGGGAATCAAAAAAGACTTAATTGGTTTCCCGAGCTCAGCTATAAGGGGGAAAGAGTGTACATCTGATTACAGGGAATCTAAGTTGTATACTTTTTAGAGTGATATGCTTTATATGTAATTATCTATTTTAACATACAAGTCTCTGTTCCCTTTAAGTCAAAATTATTCTTATTTTTATAAAACTGCAAAAATGTGAAACTTCATGGTTCCATAAAGAAAGGAAAATTCATTCAAATACAGAATCTGTGCATTCCCCTAACCAATAACAAATGGAAGCAAAATAAAAATATATAGTATTTACGTTTTATTTCAGTGGTCGTTGTAGTTAATGCACTTCGTAATGCATAGACTGGTGCAACTGATATTGAATGTATATTTGGTAACTATTTTTGCGAGGCATGCAGAAAGAGGCATGCAGAAATAATTACCAAAGTCTATCTTATTGTGAACGTCTTTTCATATAAACTCTGAGAATCAAAATGCTTTGAATTGTGCACAAAGTTGAGAGTTATATCTTGGGGCTGGGGGTGAACATTTGAGAGGGTTCAAATATGGAGGATAAAGAAAACCATGTAACTAACATAGTATATCTTAAACCCTAATGACAATACATAGCAAAGAATATTTATCTCTTAAAATACTTATTCATCTAACAGTGTATTTCTCTTTTTATTTCAGAGCCATGAAGCTCTTACTTTTGATTTCCATTCTTTTGGCATTGTTCGTCTGCTTCCAGGCAGCGGAAGCTAGGGTAAGGCGGGAAATGTTAAGGACATTATCTGATGTGTTAGGTTATAAATTGTGAAAAGTATGTACATATATGATTTTAAAAATGCAGTTATTTCTGTTGCAATTTATAAAACATACTGCAAAATACAAACAGCAAATCCGGCAAAATTCTGTTTACCAAGACAACAAAACTATACACTAGATATTATAGGGAGGGTAATAGGGAAATATGATAAATAGATAGAATTTAGTGACAGAAACATGGTAAGCACCGAGCGGTGTCAGCTCCAATCTCTTCCTGAATCACACACACACATACATACTTCTTAAAGACTCATCGCCTCGAAACGCACTGCCTAGACCCTCTTGGGTTGATGATAAATCAAAATTATCAAAGAGCTACCGTTTCTGGATTTGCATAGTAAAAAAATATCACATATCTTTTTCTGTGCTTCGAAAAACTGGTCAAAAGGTCAAAAACAGTAACTGGCTTTCAAGAAAACCTTTAACATTAATACTTGAATAATCCCTTCCTATCCCTACCTTAGATAGTTTATTATTATCAAATTACTGAAATTATTGTTTTTATGAAAAAAGATAATGAAAAATAGAGAATGATTTTAATTAAAAATTGTGATGGAGCAAATGTGTGATCCTTTTTTCCAAAGGATAATCGGGATCGGAGAGATAGAAGAGAAATTGGTGATTACCCCGACGTAGAAGAGGAGGTAAACTGGCCGACTAATCAACTAAGCCATGTCTTCAATCTATTTATTTCAATTATTTATCCAATTTTCAATCGAGAGGGCAAAAAATGCCAATATAACTGAAAAAGGATTACATTTGACTTTGAAATAAAACGTTTTCCTACAGGGAGATGAGGATGACGAGGAAGAAGCAGACGATGAAACAGATGATCAGGGAAATGACGACCACACACGAAATAGTAATACTAATTTTTAATTTATAACAAAGTTAAGGAAATGTTTTGATGGGTATGAGACGGTTTACTGATAATGTAACGTCCTGTTTCATTACAGATCCATGCGAAAAGAAGACGTGTAAACGAGGTGAGGAGTGCTATCTAGACAAAGCCAATAAAGCCAGATGTCGCTGTTTTCAACAATGTACCCCTGAGCCTGACCCTAGGTACATGGTAAGTTAAGACAAATACACTCTTAGAAATTGCAAATAGAGTAAAATAACACTAGAAACACAATATGATGAGACGATATAAAGGAACATTGGATATGGACGCAAAGAGTAGCGTTTAAGTTATCACAGAGAAAAGGTGTGTATAAATGGTTGATCATCCCACGAAAATAAAACTTTCCATTAACAGAAAAAAGCAATTAGTCATATTTGTTCAAAGCCCTAATGTTGTGTTACAATGATGTAAAGAAAACTTAAATGAACAGGTGTGCAGCAACAAGAACCTGACCTTTGACAGTGAGTGTCACATGGACAGGGAGGTGTGCTGGTGCAGACGTAAACAGCCTCAGTGTGGAAACCCCCAGTTCAAGAATCTCCGACTGGACTACTACGGAGAGTGCAAAAGTAAGGCACTAGATTCTATAGTTAACTCGGATATTAAAGTCAACTGTCAGTAGATGACACCCTTATAACTTGTGAAGGAAAGGAGGAAAAAGAATATTATGCTTTCCTAACAAATGACCTTTCTTTCTAGAAAATAATCAAACTGCTTGCAACATATCACTGTTATTTCCCGATTGTAGGTGACCATTTAGTATAAAAAACCTAAATTGTACGAAATAGCCTTCTTGTGACAATTTTTTTCTCGCAGAAATAACACCGTGCGAGGATTTCGAAATGGAACAATTCCCGATACGTATGTCAAACTGGCTTTTCAAAGTGATGGAGGAATTGGTAATTGTATTTTTTCTGTAATAATGTCTCTAATATAATAGTTCAGGTAGAGAGAAAAACATTCATGTCACGTCACTTATTTCGCTTCTTTGTTTTCACAATACATTTGTAGGGTAGAAGAAATGAACTCGACGAGGATTACGTACAAATGTTGAAAGCTGCGGAGAAAGACGCGGATCATGTGGACGCAGTCATTTGGAAGTTCTGTGACCTTGACGTCCATCCACAAGATCGGTAAATGTCCCTTTCTAATCTAAAACTTAAATTAAACGAATATAATACGTAAAACACAGTTGTGGATTACTAAAACTACCTTGAAAATTAAATAACTCAATTTAAACAAACAAACAAACAAAAAAAATAATAATAATAAATCCTGCTTTCTTAAATGAATGGTAGAATGATTAAATTCGTTGTATCTTATGTTAGATTGCAATTCTTAACCTTATATTGAAATATTTAAGATTGTCTTCATACTTGTCTGCCTTAAACAATTGAAAATATGAATGGTAACGACTTTTACATTTGCGTGTTTCTGTAAGGTACATTCACAACATTGTGATGAATTTACTCTAGATTTGTAACGCGCCGTGAGATGTTGTTCGTCATCGCCACTGTCAAACCCATGGAACACTGTTTGGCGCCATTCCTGGATCTCTGCGACTCCAACAAAGACAGGAAAATCAGTCTATACGAGTGGGGAGCTTGTCTAGGAATTAAACAAGGTATATACGCTTAACCTTTTAAAAATTTCATGCATTCATTTTTGGGGGTTTAGTGCACTATCCTAACGAGAAGGATATAATAATTTTATGCCTATATGCTTCCGGTTGCAACAATTCATGGGACAAAACAGCATTATCTGGGGCTTTGTGTTGTGTTTGAAAGAGAAGTAAATTCAAAGGAATAAAATCGCTCCAAAAAATGTAAGAGCATTGAAAGCTGAAAGATTTGGGGACCTCGCAGGCTTGTTTTTTTTTTCTTTTTAAAATAAATGATGGTTAGACTGAGGCCAGATTTCAACAGTCAAATCTTTACATTGGCTATTTTGTTTATAACGTACTTACAGAACTGACTCTTTCTTTTTTTCATATTGATACACACATGTGTAAAACAAATTAGACTCTAATTTGCTCCAAAACTTGGCTAATTTAGACGCTCCAATCTCATGCTAACATGTTTTATCAATTGAATCCCACCGAAGGTCAAGTACCACCAGAAGAAACTGCTGACTTTTCAATGCCAAGGAAATAATAGTTTTCCATTTATTTTCTAGGATCGTAAATAATATTCCTAAATCAACAGTTTTACCATCGTATTCTTTAAAAAAAAATGTGCAACAAACTGACAGCTAGATTTAATATAGTCGGGTATTCATTATTGTCAGCGGAAATATTTCAAATATATACATTGACTATATAGAACAATAATAGTTGCGCACTTTGAATATCGTGAAAAAAATGGTTCTTGTAATATATAACAATTTTATATTTTTTTAATATACTGAACCTCTTCTAATTTCTGTTTGTATTTCATTTTAGGTGAGATACAGGACAAATGTAAAGCTGTTCACAAGAAAAACAGGAGAAGGCGATAAGCGGAGCTATCTTTTTAGAATGGGATTTAATTGCAATTTGAAATATTTAAAGAAGTATTGCTTAATTGGATTAGCTAAGTTTATGGTGCAGCAGTGTCAACGACCAAAAAGAAGCATTGTTGACATACTAGTATATTGAAGACTATATTCGTGCACTTGGGTTGTTTAGGGTTATTTCTCTTGTAAATACAGTGTATATTTTAAAATATGCCAAACTTTAATTCAAGTTTTTTGATAGGGTATTGCTTTCAGGTGTTTCAGCAAAAATATTTTCTTATTGCAAAGAAAGCGTAATGTCTTTTTTATCTTGAACATTATACATGTATGTAGTGTATAGCTACCAAGTATTTAATATCAATAAAACTCATAACTATTTGAACTTTGTTGTATATATGTTATTTTAATATGTATTGATCTCTGTGTTGTTAAATAACAACCAAAGAGATGTTAATAAACTGGTAAACTGGTTAAAATTTACTATAAACTTATGGAGATGGGGCACAGTAATGAACAGAAGGATTTAAAACTCTTGTGTGATTCAGTACAATCGTGTACAGTTTTGTCTGTTTGTTAGTTGTTTACCTCCCTCTCGAGAATGTTTCACTCATATGGGGACACCACCACTTGCAGCAGAGAGCTGCAAATTTTGACCTATGCTCGGCACTCACGGACATTGAGCAGTAAGTGACCTTTTCGTGCCAGCATCTAACTGCGACACGAAACCTCGGTTACGGTCTCATCCGAAGGACCGGTTTCTACGTCCCACGGTGGAATTCGAACCCGCAACGTTAAAACGAACTCCTCGTCATTATAACCAACTTAAAAAGATCCCCGTTAAAAGAAGTTTTTTCCGTATTATTCGTATAACCCACAAAAGGTACTTAAAATTCATGTCCCAAGAACTTCCATATATTAAATTTTCACTCTAAGAAAATAGTAAAAATATATATGGTCTGTAACTTTGCCATTCATATAGGCAAATGCATTCTTTAGACTACTTAGTCATAATTGTGATTATATGGGGGGGATACCACTTACAGCAATGCAGAAAAACTACCATTTAGGCACTGAAGAACTGTTTAAAAATATTCATCGCTGTGGAGTTTAGTTAAGAGTCAACAGAAACAATAACCTTTGTGGAGTCAAGTTAGAATTAGCCCAATAAATATTAATCGCTGCGGAGTCAAGTTAATAAAAGTCGTAAGAAACATTAACTGTTGTGGTCTGGAGAATCCCCTGCAGAGTGGTCACATAATGGTCATATCAGGAAATAACGAAAAAATCCGTCGTCAAATCAGTGTATAATGGACTAACAATTAGTATGAAAAACGTCAGTCACCATTTGACTCAATGATAAATTGCATTTGCTGACAATGTCATTGTATCGACCATGGAACGTACGAAAATATGACTTTAAACGAGACTGCTGAAATTCTTGTTTCACCAACTTGTTTGTCAATAATTTACCTCGTTTTAGAAATTGTTCATACGTAGAGCATGCTCTTGCGTATCGAATGAACTGAGATATATAAACGCCGTATGCTGGTGATGAAGGTATATTGCTGCATAAGTAAGGGAAGTTGACGATAGAAAAGTTAAAGTCATCACGTTTATCATAGAGCTTGGTTGTCAGATTATCATTAATGTATTTTTCAAGTAAAACATCCAATTATGAAACAGATGTGTCAGACTCTGTTGTATCTTTTTATCTCAAGCTCACCAGGATATATCACATCGACATAAGAATGGATATTACCATTATAAATTGACAATACGTCGTCGATATATCTAAATGTCGAGTTGAAGGCCTCAGCAAGTGTTTTCTTTTCATGTATAAGATTTTGGACAAATTCTGCTTCATATAAATACAAAAATAGGTCTGCTAATAACGGGGTGCAATTGGTAGCCATGGAAATTCCAATAAATTGTTGGAAGACCTGGTCTCCAAAAACCACATAGATATTGTCAATCAGAAACTCAAGCATCTTGTTGATGTCAACTTAAGAATACACGTGTACAATCAGAATTTTTTTTAACAAAAAAATTTTGCAAATGACCAATGACAAGGTAAGTGAATTTACGAGTTCCATTTTTATTGAAAAGCAGCTGTCAATGATATAAAAAAAGAGCCTGGTATGGCACGCCAATTTCACAAAAATGAGCTAATCATAGTTTTACAATTGATAAACTAGGTTAATCGGTTGTAAACTATAGTTTACGGACTGTAAACTATAGTTAACAACGTTAATCTATATTTTACGTCTGTAAACCATAGTTAACGCGATAATCTATGTTTCACAACCGTAAACTATACGTAACAACGAAAACAATCATTTGCGATTGCAAAACAGATTATCTGATAAATACAGTTTCATGATTTATAAACTATAGTTTACAAACCGTTAACTATAGTTAACGATCTGATAAATATAGTTTCACGATTTGTGAAACTATGATTAACAACTCTTAACTATAGTTTACGATTGTAAACTATAGTTTACAAACGTGAATCTATGTTTATCAACATAATCTATTGTTAACACTTATTACAGACAGATAAACTTAGATTAGCATTCGTAAACTATAGTTAACAACCATTAAATATAGTTTTACAGATGAAAACTATACTTAACGAATCGTTAACTATAGTTTAAGGTTTGTAAACTATAGTTTACAGTCAATAAACCTAGTTTATCAATTGTGAAACTAGGTTTATCTCATTTTTGTGAATTTGGCGTGCCATAGCCTTGACTTTAATTTATCGTGGGGAATGGTAGTGTATAAAGCTGAAAAGTTGTAGGCTTTAAAGCTTTTAATTTTGGTAAAATCTCCAAATTATCTTAAGGTTCCTTGGAATTTTTAACTATCCACATCTGATTTACACCACTTCTTGAATATATTGTTGCACAGTACTTTTAAAGTTTCTCCTTCACTACTGTCAAGAAAAATTTTACAGCCGCTTTAAAGTTCTAGTTACAATTTTCAATTTATAAATGAGGGGAGGGACTGAAAATACTCATTGAAAAGATGGGATGCGCTCCGATTTGGCGACTGACGCAACGCACAAGGCAACCTGGTGAGGTGGAAGAGGAGGTGGTCCAGGAATCTAACCACAGTGACAACAGCGTTCAAGTGCAAGTCAACGAGGGGAAGGGGGGGGGGGGCAGCCAAGGAGAAGTGTTAACACCAGAAGAGCAGACACGCCAGCCCAGGTTTTAGTCGGCTGAAACAAAAAGTGAGCAGCAATAAGAAAGAATGGGAGAGGTTTAATTATGATGTAGATATAATCCTAAACGCACCACTGGCAGGAGGAATAGACAAGAAGATCAAAGGCGTGGCAATGATAATGTATAACATAGAACTGAACAGATTTGGAAAGGAGGAAACACAGCAACCAAGAGGATTAGCAAATAAGAACAGAAGACAAAGAGAGATGACCAATCTGAGAACTGCAACAGCTGACAAGACGGTTAGAACATCAGAGGAGGGTGAAGGAGCTGCTTAGGCTGAATTAAGGACGAACATTAGAGAGCAGCTAATGGAAGAGAAGGGCAGACAAAATCAGGAGAAGGATGGAGAGAGCAAGAGCACGACTGTTTACTGCACAGAATTTATGCATACAAGGTTCACTGTAATAATTATGTATTTGTATAAAATATTCAGTATAATATAATAAATATTGCATGTAGTTGAGTTGAACATTGAAAATGTTCACCCCCAAAAACCCAATGGTTTTCTTCGGGTTAAAATTTTCAATGTTGCACACAAATACATGCAATATTTATATATTTGCATGTATTTCTGTTGGACCTCAGAAATACACGTAAAAGTGATTATCTTTGCAAACTTCAGTAACAAGAGTCAATAGAAGTATTGACCCCTGTATGGATGATGATTCTTTAAAAATACACTAGTAATACACAAACATTTATATAGTAACCAGAATAGTTAACTTTTGAGTGCTTTAGTTACAATAGTTTAAAAAATATTCTCCACTGAAGAGTTGAATATTATTATCTATTGAGGAATTCAGCTACAATGGTTATAACATACAAAAACCATAACTGAGTTTACTGTTAATGCACATTAGACATGAGAAGTATTAACTTCCATGGATTTCAGTTTGTCATCAAAAGAATATCTGTTGTTGAATATAATCGTTTTGTAAGGTAGTTTACATTGGGTGAAGCCTTGCATGTATTTGCCAAATTTGAACTTTAGAGGGATTCAGCCAATTGGCTGCCATTTTTTTTAAAAAAGTAAGTACTTTTCAACAAATTAGTAAGAAGTTTTCTATAAATCATGCCAAAAAATTGTTAGTAACTAGAAATAAACCATAATTTACATGCATGCAAACAATGTATCTATATTCATTTAATTATAGAAGATTTTTTACCTAATTTATCAGTCAGTAATACTTTATTTCATTTTAATGATAAAAAAATATTGCCTCTACAACCTTGACTTTACCTGTACATGTACTATGATATTACATTCATCTTGCATTTAATATAATCAAAAGGAATTATGAAAATGGAAGATATAATTCATCGAGAAAATACAAAAACTGTGGGGTACAACTTCTATGAATTTCTCTCTCTCTCTCTCTCTCTGTTCCCAAGTACCTCTGGTACTTTCTACCTTTATATTCTATTCTTTAGCAGAAATCTGCTCTCTTCAACTCTATTTGAGGTTTTTTCCTTCCTTACTCAATTCAAAATTAAAATAACTATAATCCCACCTGTTTACCCTCTTTCATTCAAGGAAGTCAAATGTATCAATTATATTAATTTTCTTTACAAGTATGTTACAGCAAACAAATACAGAAAAAATCTGCTCAAACTTATAACTCCAAGTAATCCTGAATTAGACTTACCCCAAAAATCTTCCAAGGACCTACTAAATAGTCAAATTCTTCATGTATGTACAAACAAATTTTTTTTTTACTAAAATTTGTCTTTCCTGTGAACCATTACTATTCTTTTATATTCAAGAGGAAGTGTGCATAAAGATAAATTTTAACATTTGTCCCAAATTAATGCTACAGTATTCTCTTATGCTTTACATAAAGTTCATAAAGTTAGAAAACTTTAAAACTCTTCAGTAACACATTTAAAAAACCTTAATATTTCAAAAAAAAAAAAATAAAATTATCAGTCATAAATTAAATTTTATTAATAATAAATATCATTTGGCACAAAATAATCACCTTATCATGTCATTAGCTTTTAAGCAAAAGAACAGGGGTCAAAGAACTTTTCTTTGTAGTCATTATCTTAAGTATATTATTAGAATCACTGATCACTTCATCTTTCTTCACTGGTCTCTTTGAGCCATCAGCTTGTATTGTCTGAAAAAAGAATATATTTTGAAAATCAA